CAATCTATAACAGTGAAAAAAGATTATTTTTTTTTTAAATCCAAACTATTGTGACACCAGATCTAATTAGTGGCACTTGTCAGTTTATCCACTGTTAGCGTAACACACCCGCTTTAAGGACACTGACTGCTATTCAATCTATAACAGTGAAAAAAGATTATTTTTTTTTTAAATCCAAACTATTGTGACACCAAAACTAATTAGTGGCACCTGTCAGCGTATCCACTGTTAGCGTAACACACCCGCTTTAAGGACACTGACTGCTATTCAATCTATAACAGTAAAAAAAGTTTTTTGTTTTTAAATCCAAGCTATTGTGACACAGGATCTAATTAGTGGCACTTGTCAGCAGATCCACTGTTAGCGTAACACACCCGCTTTAAGGACACTGACTGCTATTCAATCTATAACAGTGAAAAAAGATTATTTTTTTTTTAAATCCAAACTATTGTGACACCAGATCTAATTAGTGGCACTTGTCAGTTTATCCACTGTTAGCGTAACACACCCGCTTTAAGGACACTGACTGCTATTCAATCTATAACAGTGAAAAAAGATTATTTTTTTTTTAAATCCAAACTATTGTGACACCAAAACTAATTAGTGGCACCTGTCAGCGTATCCACTGTTAGCGTAACACACCCGCTTTAAGGACACTGACTGCTATTCAATCTATAACAGTAAAAAAAGTTTTTTGTTTTTAAATCCAAAACTATTGTGACACCAGATCTACTAGTGGCAATTTGTCAGCTTATCCACTGTTAGCTGCAACACACACCGCTTTAAGGACACTGACTGCTATTCAATCTATAACAGTGAAAAAAGATTTTTTTTTAAATCCAAAACTATTGTGACACTAGATCTAATTAGTGTGGCACTTGTCAGCTTATCCACTGTTAGCGTAACACACCCGCTTTAAGGACACTGACTGCTATTCAATCTATAACAGTGAAAAAAGATTATTTTTTTTTTAAATCCAAACCATTGTGACACAGGATCTAATTAGTGGCACTTGTCAGCGTATCCACTGTTAGCGTAACACACCCGCTTTAAGGACACTGACTGCTATTCAATCTATAACAGTGAAAAAAGATTATTATTTTTTTGAAATCCAAACTATTGTGACACAGGATCTAATTAGTGGCACTTGTCAGCGTATCCACTGTTAGCGTAACACACCCGCTTTAAGGACACTGACCGCTATTCAATCTATAACAGTGAAAAAAGTTTTTTGTTTTTAAATCCAAGCTATTGTGACACAGGATCTAATTAGTGGCACTTGTCAGCTTATCCACTGTTAGCGTAACACACCCGCTTTAAGGACACTGACTGCTATTCAATCTATAACAGTAAAAAAAGTTTTTTTGTTTTTAAATCCAAGCTATTGTGACACAGGATCTAATTAGTGGCACTTGTCAGCGTATCCACTGTTAGCGTAACACACCCGCTTTAAGGACACTGACTGCCATTCAATCTATAACAGTAAAAAAAGTTTTTTGTTTTTAAATCCAAGCTATTGTGACACCAGATGTAATTGGTGGCACCGACTGGGGAAATGGGCACAGTATGCACTGTGAGCCTGACACAGAAGCTGGCAGCAGTGGCAGACAACTGACTGCTATTCAATCTATAACAGTGAAAAAAGTTTTTTGTTTTTAAATCCAAGCTATTGTGACACCAGACGTATTTGGTGGCACTGACTGGGGAAATGGGCACAGTATGCACTGTGAGCCTGACACAGAAGCTGGCAGCAGTGGCAGACAACTGACTGCTATTCAATCTATAACAGTGAAAAAAGTTTTTTGTTTTTAAATCCAAGCTATTGTGACACCAGATGTAATTTGTGGCACTGACTGGGGAAATGGGCACAGTATGCACTGTGAGCCTGACACAGAAGCTGGCAGCAGTGGCAGACAACTAAGTGCATTTACATAAGATAGAAAAAAAAATCCAAAAAAAGCATACCCTTATCCCTAACCTAGCTATGCTTTTCCCTATCTTATGAACAGCAGCTACACTTTCCCTCCTCTTACTAAGCATGCAGCTTGAGAATGAATCTAAAATGGATGCTGTCCAGTAGGTGGGAGGGTCTGCTAGGGAGGCTGTGCTGCTAATTGGCTGGAATGTGTCTGCTGACTGTGAGGTACAGGGTCAAAGTTTACCCAATGATGACGAATAGGGGGCGGGTCGAACCGCGCATATGTTCGCACGCCGTGGCGAACGCGAACATGCTATGTTCGCCAGGAACCGTTCGCCGGCGAACCGTTCGGTACATCACTACTATACGGGCGCTGTATGTGAGATGGGTGCTGTTAGATTAATTCATACTATACGGGCGCTGTATGTGAGATGGGTGCTGTTAGATTAATTCATACTATACGGGCACTGTATGTGAGATGGGCGCTGTTAGATTAATTCATACTATACGGGCACTGTATGTGAAATGGGCACTGTTAGATTAATTCATACTATACGGGCACTGTATGTGAGATGGGCGCTGTTAGATTAATTCATACTATACGGGCACTGTATGTGAGATGGGTGCTGTTAGATTAATTCATACTATACGGGCACTGTATGTGAAATGGGCGCTGATAGATTAATTCATACTATACGGGCACTGTATGTGAGATGGGTGCTGTTAGATTAATTCATACTATACGGGCACTGTATGTGAGATGGGCACTGTTAGATTAATTCATACTATACGGGCACTGTATGTTAGATTAATTCATACTATACGGGCACTGTATGTGAGATGGGCGCTATTAGATTAATTCATACTATACGGGCACTGTATGTGAGATGGGCACTGCTAGATTAATTCATACTATACGGGCACTGTATGTTAGATTAATTCATACTATACGGGCGCTGTATGTGAGATGGGTGCTGTTAGATTAATTCATACTATACGGGCACTGTATGTGAGATGGGTGCTGTTAGATTAATTCATACTATACAGGCACTGTATGTGAGATGGGAGCTGTTAGATTAATTCATACTATACGGGCACTGTATGTGAGATGGGTGCTGTTAGATTAATTCATACTATACGGGCACTGTATGTGAGATGGGCACTGTTAGATTCATTCATACTATACGGGCACTGTATGTGAGATGGGTGCTGTTAGATTAATTCATACTATACGGGCACTGTATGTGAAATGGGCACTGTTAGATTAATTCATACTATACGGGCACTGTATGTGAGATGGGCGCTGTTAGATTAATTCATACTATACGGGCACTGTATGTGAGATGGGCGCTGTTAGATTAATCCATACTATACGGGCACTGTATGTGAGATGGGCACTGTTAGATTAATTCATACTATACGGGCACTGTATGTGAGATGGGCACTGTTAGATTAATTCATACTATACGGGCACTGTATGTTAGATTAATTCATACTATACGGGCGCTGTATGTGAGATGGGTGCTGTTAGATTAATTCATACTATACGGGCACTGTATGTGAGATGGGCGCTGTTAGATTAATTCATACTATACGGGCACTGTATGTGAAATGGGCACTGTTAGATTAATTCATACTATACGGGCACTGT